AGGAGAAACTGCCAGGCTGGCTCTTAAACAGAAAACTAGCACCCACTAAAAGTTAGAGAGAGCTTTTTTGTTTTCTTACAAGGAACTTGGGGAGGAGGATGCTCACAGGAGTTTTTACAAGATAGGGGAAGTGCGCTGGGGTCTCAGATCACTATTCCTGGGAAAGGAGGTACAGCAGTTTCACGTCCTTGACAGAGAGAAACAGGCACAGCTGCTGCTTCCTGTGAGTGGATCTTTTCAGTGGCCATTCTAGGAGAGGAAGGAAAGGGTTCTACGGTACTAACAAACATCATATATAAAAGAATACTAGACCCCCTCATTGACATATTGCAGAGCACTGCAATCTCTTCTCACTGATCATTCTTTTAAAACTCAAATTATACCAAGGATGCCATAGAACCTTCCTATAATGTCTGATGACTTGTTTTCAAGCTCTGTGGATGGTAAAATGACATCTGTGTCCACTTGCCTTTGACTTCATTTTTAATTTATCCTTATGATGTGGCTTCAAAGAACCATTTCTGAGTAATAAACCAATTTATAAATTAATGAGATAAATCAGCAGTGCTTTATTATCTCTCATGAATGTGTAAGTTGTGGGGGTAGTTTCTCTGCTGGTCTCAGCTAGGTTCATTTACATGGCACATTCATCTGGAGGGGTGGCTGGACTACATTCCATTCCCCGGCTGTTAACTACGAGATCTTGGTTCTCCTCTAGTGGACTACACTGATTTATGTGGATAAAGGGCAGAAAGAGAAGAAGGAAATTAAAATTAAATTTATGGCCAAAACTGGAAAAGGAAGCTAAATACAGGAGATTAAGATTGGCTAGATAGTTATGCTAAGTGAGGAAAACCTCAGGTCAAATTCAATGACTGTTGAAAAAAATCAGATTAAATCCTGAATCCTTAGAGCATATTTCAGTAGCATAAGAAACCCTAACTTGGCCTTTTCATTGAAGCAAGGTAGAATGAGAAAGATCAAATTGTTCAGTCAACATTTAACCAATCATTTAGTTAAAGCAACAACTATTAGGCATCTGCCCAGGCACTGTTGGTGTTAGAGATAGGGAGATGAGTGAAGATATGAGTCTTTCCTCTTTGTTGTTGTTTTGTTGTGAGGTGCCATTGAGTCGATTACACCTCATAGTGAGTGACCCTATGAACAAAAGATCTTAAACCAGTCCTGTCCTGTGCCATCCTCAAACATACTGACACACAAGAGCCCATTGCAGCAGTCACCTTGTCAATCCACCTATTTGAAGGCCTTGCTCTCCTTCGCCAGCCCTCCACCCTTCCCAACATCATGTCCTTCTCCAAGGAATAGCAGCTTCTAGCAATATGTCCAAAGTATGTTAGGCGGCAAAGAGCATTCTGGCTGCACTCTCTCCGAAACATATCTGTTTTCTTTGTTGTCCATGATCCCATGTTCAGTGTTCTTCTCCAACACCATAGATCAAAGGCATCAATTCTTTTTCTGTCATCATTATTCATTGTCCAGGTCCCAGAAACATAGCTAGTAATCAGAAAGCTTAAATCAGGTGCACTTTAGTCTGGATCTTTAAAGATTTACATCTTTGGAAATTCTGTGGGCAATTCCACTCTGTCTTATAGAATCACTGAGAGTTGGAACCAATTCATCACCTAGGGGTTTGACTTTTCACTTTATTCAAATGTAGTTAGACATTTTATGTGCCAACTAAAATTTACACTTACAAACAAATACCTCATCTTCCAGTTTACAATCTGTGTCACTGGTTTAATTTTTAAACATAATTAAGTTCCCCATAATTATATGGATTGACTAAGTGGAAGTAATTCAATTTTCTTTTCTTTGTCTTAGCAATCACTGGTCTAGCATTGTTTATTCAGAATCTGCTTTTTAAATGCAGGGGTCTGTAGTACCATAGAGGCTGGAGACAAGAATTGAATGAAGCAAGCATCAGTGCTACTGAATTGCAATGATTTTATTTAGAAAAGTGAAGACACATAGCAGAAATGTAGTATATAAGGAGTCAACTGCACAATTGAGAGCTATTTGAATTAAATTTCACATAAGAAAGAAGGATTAATGGAAATTATAAACCTAGAAAGGAAGTAGAAAGAGTGTTGTTACGTTGTAGAGATGGCAGCCAGTGTCACAAAATAAAATGTTCATGAATTGTTGAATAACCAACTTGCTTTGTGAACTTTTGTCCAAATCACAATAAAAATTTACAAAGAAGAAAAAAATGTATTTGCTAAGAGATAAGTTATTACAATGTGCAAACCTTGAAGCTTATGCATCAACTATTAGTGTTAGCAAGCACATCAACTCTTTGGAATTTAGCATAACATACAGTGTTTTAGGAAAAGAGTATTTTATAATTAACATTATTTAGATGACAAACTCATGATGATAATTAAAAGTGGGATTGTCCTTACTGGATTTTGTTAATGTCTTTAAATTTTCTACAAAGTGTCCTGCTTTCTGACAGCAGTCTGGTAAGAACATCCACATCGTCCTACTTTTACTACTCTCTGCTTATCATCTTTATTTATCTCACTTTTTCTGAGTATTCATATATTTTCTAGCAAATACATTAATGTGTTTGAAAACAGAGTGTTGCTGAAAATTTGATGGAGTAATTTTATATGCAGAATTTGTATCATTTCCTCAAACCTAAGATCTGAAACACATCTGGATTCCGAGGTTTTAGATAAAAGATCAGGGCTATGGTCCTCTAATGGATTCCCCACGCTCATGGATGGAAAAAAAATGCAAGGTCATGTGACTCAAAACAGAACCATAGAACAAAAAAAAAAAAAAAGGAAAATTTGCTTGCACTTCTGGGGAAATTTGTATCCCAAGGAAAAAGTCAAGATTCCTAGGAGAATGGTCTGTGCTTACTTCCTATTCCTATTCAAGATCTAGGCTGAGGGTTTGCCCACCACCTGTAACTATGAAAAGACAAGGGTAAAAAGCCAATGAACTTAGGTTGGTGAGAAAAGGGAGGAAAATATATAACCAAAGATGATCCATTTGAGCCTTCAGAAAAGAAACAAAAGAAAACAATGCTCTAGTTAAATGTGGAGTAAGAAAAAAATTAAGCCATTTTCAATCAGATATTCTGTTTCCTTCCTGTGAATAGGAGTAACCGAATATGATGACTGCAGCAGTGGGCTTGAGTGTATCAGACATTGTGAGTATGGCGTGGGACAGGATAGGGTGTTAAGGTCAATTGTTCATAGGGTAGATATAAGTTGTACTCAACTCCGCAGCACCTAGCAACAATGACAAAACAGGTAGTGATGAGGCCTCTCACTTGTTCTTGTCAGGTGCCGTTGAATTGCCTACAAATCATAACAGCCCTATAAACAACGGATCACTTGCCCTGTCACTGTGCCATTGTCATGATCTCTGATATGCTCCAATTCATTGTTAGTCACTCCATTGTGTTGATAGCTTTCCTCTCTTTCTTTAACCCTCTAGCTTTCCCAATATAATGTCCCTTTCCAAGGATTCTCCTGACAACTTGTCTAAAGGGTGTGAGACTATCCTGAACTTCACAATCATTACCTTTAAAGAGCACTCTGTCTGTACTTCCTTTAAGACAGTCCTGCTTGTCCTTTTGGTGGTCCTTGCGATGCTCAGTACTCTTCTCCAACGCCACAGCTCAAAGGCACTGATTCTTCTGTCATCCAGATTTATTGTCCCACTTTAAGATGTGTAGGAAGTAATTAAAAAGACTATGGCTTGGATCAGGCACACTTTAGCCTTTATATTAACACCCTTGCTCTTTAGCATTTTAGAGAGATCTTTGACAAATTTTCCCAATGTAACAGGTCTTTTGATTTCTTGACTACTACTACTGGGTGTGGATTGTAGATACAAGTAAAGTGAAGTTGTTGCCAACTCTAATCCTTTCCCCATTTTTCATGGTATTGTCTGTTGGACTAGTGGTAAAGATTTCTGTTTTCTTGATGTTGATATGTAACCCATATTTAAAGGCTCTAGTCTTTGATTTTCTACAGCAAATACTTCAAGTCCTGTTCACTTTTAGCAAGCTTAGCAGACCACTGAAAGGCTACCTGGAAGCTGTGCAGCATTCCATATGGACACACTATTTGGAAGACATTCCAATCAGCATCATGTAAGGTGGCTACAGCAAATGAAAAGAAAGCACGACCACCGGCCACATCCTACCCAAACATCAGCTGTGACACAACCCACCTAAGGATCCTTACATGGAATGTGCAGAGGACATCCAATTAGTATCCTCCATAGAGAGAGCTGACCACCGAGTAGATCAACTTACCTCCCACCCCACAAGCATAAAACCTTTGTTGTAGCTTTCTGGGAGCTAATTACCATCCCCACTGCTTACCTCCGGTCTGGGGCTTCGGAACTTCATCAGAGAGCTGATAATAAATTCCTTTGTTTTACTTCATCTGGTTCTCCGAGGCCTTTTTACCTCACAACCACGAAGGAACCTCTTTCTGGGAGAGAATCAAAGGAAGACTATAATACAGAGCAGTCAACAGATAGTCTGTTAACCTTATTAAGTTTCCAATTAGAGAAGATTCCTTCTCCAGAAAGGCAGAAGGAATCCTCTTGGCAAAGAATCAGAATAAAGTCTAGTTGTGGGCACAGGGAAGTTTATAGCATCTGTGACCCACCCCTGTTTGCACAGCACTTCACAGTTCTTGTGTTTGTGTGTACATATTTGCATTGAAGGGGTGCCTCCAGCTCAGTACCTTCAGGTCAGTATATAATATCTTTTAGCAGTCATTCCTTGAAAACCTTTTCCAAACTGTTTGGTGAGTGAGACTCACCAATGGCAGTCATCTTTCCTAATCTTGTAATCTCCTTCAAAGAAATTCAGGCTTGTCTTTACTGCCATTGACGTCCCTCCATCTTAATTTCCCAATACTTATCACTCTTCCTTCCCAATTGCTGTTGTTCAGAGATCTTACCTTCTCCTCTTTCTTCCCAGACCCAGGACACCACCTATCTGCAGGATGAAGCTTGCCTTTTGTCTCTTCCTGCTCATCCTCCTTCTCCAGCTGATTATCCCAGGGGATATGCAGTGTTCCTTAGATGCAGTCGTGGATGAAAAGATAAATGCAGCTCTCAGCAAAATTGGGTAATCACTGGGATTAAGGAAGGGGTGAAAGTTAATCTTTACTCATTCCTCTTATTCCTAAACCACAATCTCTCTAGCAAAACTTCAGATTCCAAATTCCACTCACTCTGCTCAATGTCAATCATCCTACCCAAGGTTTTCTCCACTGTTTTCAACTCTTGGTTGAAAGTTGAGTTTTCCATAGGGAAAGATTAGGTTTCCATAAGGAAGACATTGCTGATGATGGTGATGGGATAATTATTTAACATGCCCTATGAATCAGGTATGATGCAAATCTTTTATGTCAATTAGTTCATTTAATTCTTTGAACCATTTTATGAAGTATAACTTACCTAAATTTTACAAATGGAAAGTTGAACTTTTTTTTTTTTTTCATTTACCCGTAATCATACAAAATAAAAATAGCTTGGCTGGGGACACTGACTCCTCTGAGGAGAGGGTCAGTGGCTTTGGGAGGTGATTATAGAAAGGAAGGACCATGGGAGACATTTCTTTCCCTTTTCTACTTAGAGTACACACCCTCTAACCAGACAAAGAAGCTCACATGTACCAGCATCATTCTCAGTGGCAAACTGGCCTCCTGCCCTACAGGTGAGTAGTTCCACGAGGTCTAATGCTTGTGGGGTGACTCCTTGCCCACTCCTGTTCATTCTCAGCCCATACGCCCTGTCTCATCTCAGAATGTTAGGCCCTGGACTGATTCACAACCCTAGTTCCCTGACTTATCTTCGTTGCCTTTAAGAATACTACTCAAGGATCTTAGGTCTCTTCCTTCCCCCCTGTCTTCATACCTCCTTCCCTCTCTCCGTTATTCCATGACTTCATCTATCACTCCCCCTATATTTCCTCTCTCTTTCCAATCTAGTCACTATTATGCTTAGAATAGATCCACCTAGAGGTGGGTTTATCATAAACCTAAAGAAATGGAGAATTTTGGACTCTACATTTGCATGGGACTCTTTTAAGGCCCTATAGCTAATTATGTTTATATATTTTGTTTGTTATTCTTCAATGTTGTTGTTGTTGTGTACCATCGAGCCAAAACTGACCCATGCTGACCCTGCAGCGGGTTTTCAAAGGAGGTAAATCACATGAGAGGAAATTGTCTATCCTTCTCCCATTATTGTTCAATACGACTCTCAAAATTAAATTTAGTTTCAGCCCCTACAAGACGTGGATTTACCACTGGGTACCCAAGGATAAAAGATGGGTCTGAAAGGATAGCCCTCTTCTCAGAATCTAAGTGCTCATTGCTCACACAGGGTCTGCTGTCACCAGTTGTACCTGTGGCTATGGCTGTGGCTCCTGGGTTGTGCAGAATGGAAACACGTGCCACTGTCAGTGCAATGTGGTGGGCTGGACCGCAGCCCGCTGCTGCCACCTGTCCTAAGAGGGAGGAAGCTGAGAGCCCATGACTCCAGCCAAGAAGTCTGATTCAAATTGTAATTTCTCAGTGCAAGTTCCGTCATTTGTTGTAATCCTGTTCTACAGCTAATAAATATTATATCAACTCTGCATTTCTTGATGTTTTACATTGTTCGTTACTATTGCCCCTAGTTTGAGATTATCTTTGCCAAAGAATGTTTCTGGAATCCCAATTATTTCCTCCATCCACGTCTGAAATAGCTTGCCTCTGGAAACTCTTTAAACGTGGACAAACAATGAAAATTATACAAGTGTTCAGGTCTTTCGTTAATAGGATTTCTGTGAGTTGTCTATGACTCGATGGCACTTGACAACAACAACAGCAATGTAGTGTATAAAAAAAAAGAGGGTAGTGGGCACTATAGAAAGGAAATGAGCAAAGTAGAAAAATTGAGACAATCTCCTCAGCCTCCACTTCTCTTATTATTTGTTTAAAAAACTAACAATGGCTTTACACAAAGCATACTGTTTGCACCAAGGAGCACTGATGACATAGTGTTTTATGTGTTGTGCTGTCAATCAAAGGTCAGCGGTTTGGAACCACCAACTGCTCCATAGGAGAAAGAGGAACAGTCTTCACCTATAATGATTTACAGCCTTGATAACCTTATAGAGGGTCCCTGTGACTTGGCATACACTCTACAGCAATGGGTTTTTTGTTTGCTTTCTCTGTAAATTTACAAGTACTGGGGGGGGGGGGGAGGGGGGAGAAATTAAGGCCCTTTTGGGCTCACCAGCTAGAACAAGATTGAAATGAGGAAGCTCTGATGGCACAGCTTGAGCACACCCAGTAGCTAACAAAAAGATCATCAGTTCAAACCTGTCAGCTGCTCTATCAGGGGGAAAGAGGAGCCTATCTTCTTCTATAAAGATTTACAGCCTTGGAAAGTCTATGAAAGCTGTTCTAGTCTGTCCTATGAGATTGCTTAAGAGTAAGAATTAACAGAACAGTAATATATTTTGGATTTTCAGTTTCTGTTTTCAGCAAACAGGTAAGAATATATGTTTAATGGGATCTGTTTTTAGAGTTGCAGCTTCTACAAGTGTTCTTTCCAAAGCATATCTGACTGAATTCTGTTTTGATCAAGGTGACCCCTTTTACCAACATCTTTCCTACATATCAAAAGAGAAACAAAGCCCTTACTTGTCACTGAATATTACTACAGAAGTTCATCATAGAGTATAAAATCTGAAGAATACCAGATACAGAGATATTTCACAGTATTAGAGGATTGCTGTCAGTGTTAAGCCCATGAATGACCTGGCGATTGGTAATAAAGTTCTCTGACAAATTGGGAGGCTTCCAATTCCTGGCTTTAAGAGTATTCACACAGTTCACTTGTCAACAATAATTTTTAATAGTAATAAATGACAGAGTGGTTTTGGCAACTATTTCAAAAGGAATTCACTCAAATTTAATAACATTGCTACAATAAAACACTTGTTTTTCTACTTAACTGTGAGAAGTAGTTATCTCAGCATGTATAACAATGCAAACAAAAAAGAGGAATATAATTGGTTCTAAATTCTAAGTCATTCTAGTGTTACTCAT